CCCCAAAACCCCAAAACCCCAAAACCCCAAAACCCCAATTAATCATGTTTAAATTGAAATAAAATTATAAAAATTTTCATATTCAAATGGCAGACCTTGACATTATTGTAAAAATGATCATTTACAGGTGCAGAGAGCTTGGAAACCCTGTCACTGAGCCACTCGCAGCATACGTTGCCCAGACAGTTGTTAATGAAGAGACTGGCAAGTTCTATATGGAAGACCAACTCAGTGAGGAAGAGGCTAAGGACCTGGCTGAGAAAGTTATCACTAGGCTCCAAGAAACTGATTCACCCAGTTTGAATACTATCAAGCTCCAGATAGGCTATGATAGCGCCTATGTACAGCAGGAGTACCACAGACAACAAAATATAACTAATTTGTCTCATGAAAGTAACAGGCTGATCGATGAGATTGTTTCTTATGAACCTCGGTCAGGAAATGATTTTGAAGGTATCACTATGCTTTATAAGAGAATCTTCAATTACCTCTTGTACAAGAACAAGCAGCATATTATTGGAAATTTCTCATCTATTAAGTTAACTCAGAGCATATCAAATACCATTGAGAGAGAAGTAGCAGCTGCGTTAGAATCTGTGCTTCCTAGGGCAGGACTCAGGCCCTTCATTTCTCTGGCTACAGCTGAGAAAGTAGCACAACTATGAGAGCTGTCCAACATTGTCATCGGAATCAGACTATTTAACAGAGATATTGGAAAGGGAGGTGTAGGCTTAGAGAGCTTTGATGATATCATCAATCACCCAGCCAGGAACCTTATCAACGAGCTTAATGACGAAGTAGCTGAGATAATGGAGAGCAGTGATAACTACACTATCTACTTCAATGTCCTTGAAGAGCTCGGTGAGGAAGCTGGCACTGAAGACGACATCAGGCTCTACAAAGATGAATTGACCTATAAAAGACAGTTTTTGATCTACATTCTTGAGCTGAAGTCAGATGTCCAAATTTCAGAGGGAAACATAGATGATTTGCAGTCAAAGTATACTAAAGAAATTACAGAGCTGAAGGAACTGATTGGAAATAAGTCTTCGATTCCTAAGGATCAGGTTTACCCAAAGTTTGACAATCTTTCCCAGATTTATTCCCAATTACTCGAGGAGAAGAACCTAGCTATTCTGAGAAAGGAACTATTCAAGGTCCTACTCGAGTTTAAGGAGCTCAATATCGAAGCTACTTCACTTCAAGAAAGTTTGATCAAGAAGGCTAAGGTCTTGTATGTTGAGAAAGCTCAGAGATTAGCTGAATATGAAGCTCAGATTGCACAAAATATGGAAAGCCAGCAAGTTGGAGATCCTGATCAGAGTATCCTTAGGCTGATGCCTAATAATACTCCTGATTTCATGCACATTCCTCTGGATTATTTAGGGTTCTGTCTCTGGACTATTGTTGAGAAAGGAGGATTGCTCATGCCTGGTAAACCAAATCTAGGAGTGTTTAAGTTCAAAGAGCGTTACATAGTATTCTCAGACGAAAGTTCAATCGAGCAATTCCTGACAGATCCAGATGGCTATCTTCAAAAAGTGATTGACATCTGTAGGGCTAATCCAGAATTGATTCATCTGCTAAAGCTTCAGGAAGATTTCCCAGATGCTTCGCTAACAGCTCTGTTACAAGGAAAGGATGGAATGCATCCATTGTTCTCGATCTCTCCTCTGATGGTGAACAAAGCTGTTGAAACTCCTACTCATTTCATAGAGAAGCATATCTCCCCTGACTACCACTGGAACGAATGGGAATTGAGGAAGAAGGCACTACAGATGGCTAATATTAGGAACAAGCAGACAGTAAGCAGTCAGACCTTACTTTCAAACTTCAGAAGAGAGAACGATACTCAGACATGGCTTCCAAAGGACCAAGAGACCAATACCGGCAAGAGCGTTGGAGTCCAGATCAGGGACCCCAAGCAATGGAGAGGAACTGAGCACGATTCAATGCCATAATTTCAATCCTACTGATTCCATATGGGGTTTTGGGGTTTTGGGGTTTTGGGGTTTTGGGG